CTCTCTCTGTCTGGCGAGCGCATGCACCCTACAGTGAAAATCTCTCCAAAAAATAAAAAATAAATAAAAATAAAATTAAAAAAATGAGCTGTGTTGTGGACCATCAGGAGGTGTGGTGGTTAAGGTGCTGGACTCCCACATGGCTGACCATAGTTCAAGTCCCAGACCTGGCTTGAAAATCATGCCAGGCATGTGTGTGCATGCTCAAAATCCTGAGAGAAGAATGGAGGATAAGGGATTACAGTGTGGCCATCTCTCATGGCAGGGGTGGACGGCTGATTTCTCACTTTCCCTCTCTCTATCTCTATCCAGTGAGAACACTTGCCCTATGGCAAAGACCTAAAATAAAATAAGAATAAGAATAAAAATAAAAATAAATTTTAAAAAAATGAGCTATAGGGGCCGGCAGGTGATGTGGTGGTTAAGTGCTGAACTCCCACATGGCCCACTGCTGCTGGTCGAGTTCCAGCCTGGATACTTGTTTTCTTAGTCTCCTTCTCTTTCTCTCTTTGGCCATATTAAAATAATAATAACTATAATAAATAAATATTTTTTAAATAAGTTGTGATTGGGACCACAGATGGTGTAATGGCTACGTCGCTGGACTCCCATGGAGTCGACCACGGTTTGAGTCCTGGACCCAGAGTCTTGAATTTACACCAGGCATGTGCATGTGTGTCCAAGATCCCGAGAAGAGAATGGAGGAGAAGGCATTATGGCATGGCTGTCCCCCTGGGGGTTAATTTTTCACTTTCTGTCTCTCTGTCTCTGTCTTTCTGGCGAGTACATGTGCCCTGTGACTAATACTTCTTTAAAAAAAAAAAGAGCTATGGTTTTGTGATAACATTTTCGTGCAATTGTTTTGTGTACATTCATTATTTTGCATTTAACACTTTCACTTAAAATATATTATTTTATATACTTTTCCTCAAAATGAACATAACACAGCACTTATCATTTTTTGTTTGTTTTTCTGAGAGTTTTTTTTAGGGGATGTGCACTCACTAGAGAAACACAGAGACAGAAAGTGAGAAATCATCCCCCGGGGATGGCCAGGCTGCAATCTCTTCTGCTCCATTCTGAGCATTTGGGCATGCATTCACAGACACCTGGCCTGAATTTCGAAGTGCCAGGTCCAGTACGCAAACCTTGGTTGACTACATGGGAATACAATGCCTTAACCACCATGACACCTGCTGGCCCCAGCACTTGTCATTTTATGAATATATGGCATGACACCAAGTGCTCAGCCAGCCTCTCTACTCTAGACCTTTTTTGTTACTATCATACATTTTTTTATTATGATAAATCAACGTTTGACCAATATACACAAGGCTCATGTGAACGACTTGCCTAATTTCTCTTCCACAACACCTTCCCTCCATTTCCACACTGGACGTAAGAGGTCATTATAAAACTGAAGGACTTTAAAAATCGAACCTACTCAAACACATACATCTAGAACTAAGGCTAGCATTAAAAATAATCATCTTTGGAGGATGATCAAAATCCAGATCTGCACTTCTGAATCTGTCTATTAAGATAAATTGTGAGCCCCGCAAAATGTCATCGTTTTGTAGTTACTCTTATTTTACTTTCCTAGACACAAGGATTTGCTATGCCACCTGGCCTGGCTGACTTAGTTTCTCCAGTAGCTAGAATTACAAGTGCTTGCCAAAGCACCTAGCTCTGCCCTCACTTTTAAAAAATTATTATTTTTTTATTCTATATATTTAATCACTATACATCACTTTGCCTGTAA